TAAATGTAGTGAAGATTATCGCGAGATCACAACCATTTTTTTTCCTTGATTTGTTTTCCGTCGATCATGTTTTCCGTGCTGAGCACCAATGCTACCAACGCCAGGAAGGCAGCTCCCACACCTGGACTCTACCTATCGACCCATCAACTCATGAACCGGGGACCAACGGCTTTACTTCCCTTCCGAAGGAAGGCGTGATCAGAGATGTTATGCCTCAGAACATCCCGATGGCGCCGACTGGGATTGAACCCAGGCTTGCTGAGAGGTGATCACGCTTACCACTACACCACCGGTGCCGCTCTTTGCTGAATTCTATAATATAAAAAGTGATATTTGCATAAGAAATCGTTTACTCAAGAGCAGTCGCGATAAATTACTAAAAAAAACGAACTCTTGCATTTTAAGCTAATCAGGTTTTTATTTTTTATGAGATCAACTCTTCCTGTTTCTAGTAATAATCGAATATTATAAAAAAAATACAGGAATTTTATTACAAACATTATTTTTAAATAGTGTGGTTTTTGCGTGTGCATGACTGTTGGATTTTTTCCATGATTAGAAAATGAGTTCCGGAGCTGTTTTTTTTTTACTAAAATAAGACTCTTAGATTTTCTCTTCGTAGGGATTGCTTAGAAACATGCCCTGAATGGATTTGAAGAGTCCAGCGTGTTATCATTTTGTCAATATGATCTTTTTTAAAAAGTTTATCAAAGAAACCTTGGGGCAAGACAGCTTTTGATCATGAGTAAAATATGAGTTAATTTTGAGTAGCTCTGGGTAACTCGCTCAACATCAAATACACATAGCAACCGATACTGTCAAGCAAAGCAAAGCAACAACATTTTAAACGGTGCGCTTGCAATGCTTAACCGGGAAGATCTTGCGGCAATGGAAGGGAAATTGCACGTGTACGAAAGGAACTACATGCTGCCCTCTCAAAATCGATGGAGGATTTTTATAGTGAACTTACTGAATGTCGGAGCTGTCTTGCTGTACTGCCATGCCGATGACATTCTATTACAGGGGGGATTCTGTACAATCCCTAGGAGGGTTCCAGTCAATCGCAAAGGGGATTTACGACAGTCTCAGTAGAGATTCCAAACAAGCCTAAGGGGAATTTCAGACAATCCTAGTTCGGCTTCCCAACAATATCAAAGTGCACTTTGGAAAATCCAAAGAAGGAATATGGACTATCCCAGGGGAGATTCCACACAATCACATGAAGGATTGCATTCAATAATGAGGGGGATTAAAATAATCCAGTCAATCCAAATGGGGATTCTGGAAAATCCCAGTATGAAAAAAAATGGAATGTGGTGGTTCCTACATCCCTTCGACAATCGCTCGTTAACAAACTTCATATAAGATAAGTTTCAGAATAGAATCAACTATGAAGTTGGCCAGAACTAACCTATTTTGACCTGGGATGAAAAGTTGAATAAAAGACCGCATTCAAGAATGCTCCTTTTGTGCTAAATATTGAGCATCACAACAACATCAGACGATGAAAATTCAACCCGTTCCTGTTCAACCTTTTTCAACTCGTGTCTATTGATGTATTTTTGCAGGAGTATCAGGGGAAACAACGAACGCTTCTGGGAAAAGTTGACCCTAACTCTGACTTTTTCCAGCTAAATATTCTCAGAGATTTAAATGCCTCTTCCTTCATGAATACTGGTTAGTAAAATGTTGCTAATCACGGTACACGATAATTATAATTATTAATTATGAGTTTTCTCATTTCAGGCATGTAGTGCAACAAAATTTGAAACCTCTTTGACCGATTTTGAGAGATTGAGTACTAAGTTTCATGAGCTAAAATTATACTTCTGAAATCATTTGGCCAAATTCCTACTTCTTTGGACTTAAAATCACCCCATCTAGTGTTTCCTGCCCGAGAAATTTACCAGATTTATCATTTCCCGATTCCCAGGAAACTAGCTTGACTTCCCGAGAAGCAGTTTTTTTTTGTACAAAAACCATGTTAAACATATTTTATATTAAAAATGACCACACAACCCAGGACTTCCTTGGCGAAAATGTAAGAGCCTATCCAGATTTAGAAATACACCACCGTCAGGAAAGCTGGAAGAAACTTCCGGAGAAAGTTGGAAAATCTTTTGGTGGAAATTGATAGAAATTTCCGGAGAAAGTTTGACGAATCTTTAGTGCGAAGTCAGGAAAGCTTCCTGGCGATGAGTCTTCCAAACGAAACCGGACGCTTCTGACGCAATCTGTGAGAAATTCCCGGGCGAAGTTAGAAGAGACTTTCATGCAAGTTTAGGTAGCCGGATGAAACTTTCAGAATAATTCAGAAATCACCCCAGCAGACCTGGGTACAATCCCAGTCGGCACCGCCGGGATGTTCTTTGGCATAACATCTCTGATCACGCCTTCCTTCGGATGGGAAGTAAAGCCGTTGGTCCCCGGTTAATGAGTTGATGGGTCGATAGGTAGGGTCCAGGTGTGGGAGCTGCCTTCCTGGCACGTCGGTAGCATTGGTGCTCAGCACGGAAAACAAGATCGACGGAAAAAACAAACCAAAGGAAAAAAAAAGAAATAATTCAGAAAACTTTTCCGTGGAAAGTCCGGATGAAAAGGGGAAATAGTTTACACGTCCAGTGGTAGCCAGTAGGACTTCTAAGAGTAATCTGAAGATACTGTTGGATCGAAAAGTTGATAAAACATCCGTTGAACAATGGAAGAAATTTGCGGGAGAAGGGGGAAGAAGTTAAAAAAAAACTTACAGGAGATGTTGGAAGAAACTTTCATGCAAAGTTAGACGAAACCTCCCGGAGAAATCATAAGAATCCTTCAGAAGAAGCTGGTCGAAATCTTCAAGGGGAATTTGGAAGAAACTTCCAGAAATTGTCTGAAAAATCTTCCGGGGGAAATCCTGACGAAGTTCAAGTTTTAATAAATAGCTACCGAAATATATAACTGGTTACAGAATAAAAATATTTCCCAATTCCCGGACAGAGTCTTAAGCTATTTTAAGATTCCAGGGTAGCTAGAAATATCTGGGAAATGAAAACACTAACACCGGCACATTACCAAAAACTTTACACTTTAGCCATCCATCCCTAGATATTACACTTTAGCCATCCATCCCTAGAAAGCAAAAGAAACCTAAACATCCCCTGGCCTGGACAAGAGCAATCTAACTTGGATCTTTCAATGAATGAAAACTAAATCTTGAAATCAAAACATTCTGTCAGGGGGCGATTGTTCATATCAATCATATTCAATTTGATGGAAATTATTAGACTACTTTGTTTATTTTTGAGTAAATATGAGTTACTCAAATACACTCACTGCAAATATATTAACTCTGAGTACAGTTGTCTTACCTCTTGAAAGAAACGGATACCAGCTTAGGATCCCAGGAGCAACACCTACCAGAAATATTTGAGGCTACACAACAACAACAATTAGTAGCAACAACATTGACATCATTAGAATCATTCAACGCAAACGGCTTGGTAACAGCTTAAAGGAAATCTAACAAACAACCTGGAATGCGATACCAACGTCAGTACCGGCACCAAGAATTCAGAGTCAACAGGTACCGGCACCGACACATACCATACACTTAGCAACTGCATAATGCTTAGTCAGGAGTTTCGATAGGAGTGTGAGGCCTCTGTATAACTTATGAAATAAAATTTAATTAGCTTTTTACAGATGGTAAACTAATGTGGTCCTTTTTAAAATCGTATCTGGGAATTCCCTATCCATAATGCATATACAAATGTAAGTAAGTTAGACTTCAACCCTAGAACCAACATGTTGTTATTTTTTTCTATTAGATCCTACTTGCGACCAGATTCCAACAGGTTATACGCCCGTCACCTTGAGAACTCCATTGACAGTTGCAGGCCAGCTAGGTAAGCTGGTAAAGCAGGCCGATGTAAAAACCGCTTATTTACACGGAGAACTGGAAGAAGGTGCACCAGCCATGAGGGACGCAGTGGTTGCCGATGCGTTTGTATGCCTCGGAAAGCTCTATGCGAAATCGATCTAACCGAATGCATTTGAAACACACAAGCAGATCAATGCTGTAGGTTCCACAGTGTGTTAGTTAGAGTAATGCTAAACCACCCACTTTGATATTCCAGAAACCTTCACTATTTCAACAACGGAACAATATACAAAATTAAGGAAGTGTTGTCGATTTCGGGTACGTCGCCTTTTGTTGTTCAAATGTTATTCTATCCAACATAGTAGTGAATGTGCTTCATTTTACAAAAAAAAAAAAAAAAAAATCACTCCATAACCTAAAAATATAAGCCTGTGCAAAAAATGATAAAGATTGATTAAGGTTTAGAGGCCACGAAAACGGTTCGAAGTTTGTATGGAGATTATGTCGAATATTTCTAATATCTTATATAGTTCTAACTTTGGTTATAGGAATCTCATGAGCCTACATGTGAAATAAAAATAAAACTTGTTTAATCACTAGATCCTTAGTGATAGGGTATCACTGGTCGTACGATCAATATTCAAAGTTTCTGATAAACCATAATTTGTTCGTGCTATACAGTTTTATATTAGGTAGTACCTTGTTGACCAGTTGATGTGGCAGCATTGGTATTTAAAAAACAATCATTTCCAATGTAGCATCGGAAAACAACTCGCAGACTCAAATCATAAAACGCTTACTGAAAAATTCATAGCTCGTTTTGATACACCAATCATGGCACCATAGTGTTTATATCACGTGCATCCAATCTTTTAGATAAACATAGTACTAATTAAATTAATGTCCAGGAAGCGTCGATAATCGCTCGGAAATTAAATAATTGATGCCGTTTCTATTAATCAAACCACCACATCGGCCATAGCACATCAAACGTCACGCAATGTGTTCGATTCCTCTGCGACATTGGATTTAGGCTGCACCAAAATGCATCAAACGCATTCTACACGTCCGAAAAACCCACACACAAAATTGCACAATGTTTACTTTCAATTTCATTTCACTGTCGGGGGACGCTCACCATGTGCATTAGGCGACACTATGTTGTAGACGATGCAGGGTGATGCAGGACTGTCCTACGTAGGTGTGTTGCTTTGAAGTTTTGCAGCCCTCAACTTTGTACCTCGCTCAACTAGAACACAAACAGCACTTGTCATCTCCTTCGACACTGCCCAGAGCTCTAGAATCGCTCTCAACGATGCATGCGACCGACCGTAATCGAGTGTAAATAATAACTGATTATAATACAGGTACGGTTCAATTAAATATTAAAATTCAATTCAGCCAATTCGCGAAACCATTACCATGCTAAGTCTGCTCCGCATGCTGACGACAACGAGGTGCTGCATGTAGCGACAAATAGTTAGTTGAAGTGCATGTATGTATAACTAGACTGCTCCGCACATGCATACGTATCCAGGGTATCATGATCATCGTCATCGTCGTCAGTCATCAATTGTCACCTATGCGTCACAAGTCCTGCGTTGATGAAATGTAAATGAGGATGTTTTTTTTGTGAACAATAATGTAGAGGCATACTAGTTTGTAATGGAGCAATTGTTGATGAATATTTGAAAAGCTTTTCATGAAAGATTCTCGTTTTAAGAACTTGGTTTATGGAGACTCTTTTTAGTATCTCCTTAATAAAAATTAAAAAAAAAAAACTACAAGGGACAGCCCTATGGGGTTGTACGCAATAGTGACGCAGGACTACGTGGTCTTATATAATAAATCTTACTTGTTAACTGCAGCAGGAGCTTGTGTTTTGTGTAAGAATAGGAATTTGAGCAGGATTCTCTCTGTTTATGCTCTTTAGTATGACGCGCTTGACATGGATGGCCCACAGCGACTCACGAAAGGCTACTGATTCTGATCAATAGCGGTGCGGCTTCTTCATCCTTCTATGGATGCTCGTGTGGCCTGCAGCTCACTGCTTGCAGGCAGCTTTTTGTCGTGTACTGAAGAACCATGTTCAACCCCACACGCCGAAAGCACTGCTGCTGCTGCTGCAGCTGATGCCGACGACCGGACACTACCACACACGATGATTGCAACTGAATCCGATCAGCGGTTGAGGCCAGCCTTGGTAGCTAGCTGCTTGCGGGGAACCTTTCGTTATGTATTGGAGAACACCACGCGGTGATTGAATAAACACCGTTTGGTGAGACCGGATGGAATTCAACTTTGAAATCTGTGTTAGGAAAATCGCTATCGCAGGAAATCGCTGATAATTTTAATTATCATGGCAACAGTTGCACATTTGCGCAATTTTCAATAGTGACATTTTGAAATTTGATAACGTCTTAAATTAAACAGATGCGTAGAAACATTTCTGATCGATTGGTGATAAATTTATTGAAATTGGTTCAGGGGAAGCTGAGTTATTAACGTTCAAAATCTTTCATAATTTTGTTACATGTTCCATTTTTGTCTTTCACAAAGTGTACCCCCATATAGAAATCACTGACGTAGTCCTCCGTCAAAAAAACTTTCCAGAATTATTGACTTTTCGCATTTTCTCTGACACACAACTGACGATCGACTTGATCTACCGATCTGGAGATTTTCAGAAAGGTTTGTGCCTCTGATAGAGCTATGCACCGGTTCACGTTTCGACGGGAACCAGTACTTGATGGGTGTTTGAAACAACCCATATAACAAGAAGTTGTATAACAATGTAAATACATTATCGTAAATTTCCACAGTTTAAGTCAACATCGCACATAAGAATGACATATTCCCATTAGGTTTAAGGTAAATCGTAAAGAATGCAAATTTCCAACATATTTCATCATTTTTTCATCATACTGTATCACACATTAAATCGGATTACATCATGAGACTTTTAGAATTAACTTTTTTATTACAGATTAAATCGTATATGATGTTAAATCAACTAGTTTAAAACCTCATCTATCGCATAAAAATTACCACTATAGTCTGTTATTTGAAATTAGCATCCTCAACTATGCAAATCTTTGACTTCACGCAGAAGTAAAATAAAACAAATTGTTAGAGAAAAAATATTATTTTAAGGTTTACAAATAAAATGATGTTGAATCGCACCATCGGCACCGCATCCTAGTTCATTTAAATTTTTGAAGGCGGTAAAAACAAACGTCCCTCGATGTAGTGGTAGCAATGTGATCCACACGAAGAGAACAGTGGCTACTGTTGCCTTCATCATTCTGTATGCTTTTTATGTTTTTGTTTAGTCATCGCTGTGTTTTTGTTTTGTTTTTGACTTGATCGTTATTCTGTGATATTGATATTTATATTGATGAGTGCAAATATTTAATGTAATTAGATTAAGCTTAAATTAAATCCGATCAGGGTGCTGCCTGACGGAGGCAGCTAATAGTGAAAGTGAAATGTATTCTTTTACTTCATTTGAATCAATTACGGATCTCCAAACTGCTGTCCAGAAAACTGTGCAACAAATTAAACACAACGTAGGGGCACATCCTGGACATAAACCTGGTTATTACAGAAGTAATATTCTAGCTCTACTCTTTGCAACACAGGGAAAAGTAGTGTAAATTTCTGTTCAATATGATGCACATAAATGGAGCGTCACATATCATATAACTTTACATTATAAATCATGTAAAGTTCTGAGACATTTCATGCAATGTAGCAAATATTGTATACAAAAGCCCATATTTGTAAACAACATTGTTTACAAGTTGCTCGGTTGCATGAAATGAAATAAAAGTTTACGTGAATGAATGTTTACATCACAATTAAAATTCAGAATTTTTATCTGTGTAGCATATCAAACACGTAGTTCGGGGCATTGACATAATCCCAGTTAATTGATATTATATTCAAGTCAGAAAGTCACTGGTTTCCCATTAGTTTAAATTCGTTTCTGTGTGGAGAAAGATCTCTTCACACTGGCTGTAGTGACCAGGAGTGTCTCCAAAATCGTCAACAAAAGATTGATTGTTGCCAACATTATGTTTGTATCCTCTTATAAACATAAAATCCAAACTTTACCTGAAGAATAAACTTCTAATATTAAAATAAGTTTTTAGACCGGCCTTGTTTTATGCTGTGCCAATATGGTCTAAATCTTGCACTACCAGTAAAAAGCACTTCAAATGATTAAGAACAAAGTTCTGAAGATGATTTTGAGGGACCAGGAGGTCCCTGGTACAGAACTACCGAAGAACATTTTGAAGGTTTAGACTTTAGAACAAATTTCGAACAAAATAATTAATAATTTCAGCGGAAAAAACATTGCAATCTTCAATTGCAACGATTAGTTCCCTTTATACAAAGATAAGATTTAGTTGTCAATTGTTATACTGACATGCAGGATTAGAAAACCTGTTTAAAATATTGAATTACCAAAGCAGGAACAATGTTAAAACACCATAGCTGGTAAGTTACTGTAGTGGCTGGAGCACTTAGGTTAAAATGAAACGTAATTTATTTTGAATTTTAAACAAATAAAGAGCTAAAAACAATATTGAAACAATGTGTGACTCTTTATTAAATCCAGTGGTACATATGGAAAGTTAAATTAATTAAGAAGCCATTTTTTGTAGAAACGTTCTATTTTGTGTGAAATCCTGCTTGAAAAAGAGGGGTAAAGTGCGGATTGTGTTTAGTAGGCTACAAATTGGGTCCACACTCTAGTTCCTACGGAAGTGAAACGAGGCAGATCTGTCATAAAAACTCGATGGTCTCATGATCTCTAACAGAATTACTGCAAATTGTTCACGCACAACATGTAGCTAGGGGGCTATAAGGCCTCTTCCATAAATTATTTTATTATAATGTGAAAAATAAAAAAAAAACTCATCCAGGTAACAGATATCCATTATCTTGAGTCAGTTTTTTTTTTTCTCATGATGATAATAATTTCAGGGAAAGGCTTCAGCCCCATAGCCCCCTCCCCATAGCTACGTGCCTGGGATTGAGCCTACGTCCCTGCTCGTGCACGAATGAGGAGGGAGAGTCAAAATCATGTTTTTTTTTATGTCCAAAAGGCATATTGATGGCCCCTAGACAATGCGCCAATTGAACTTCACTTCCTTTACTTAAGGTGATTCCTTGTAGAGTCCACAAATGGCCATCACGTAGGCTATACATGCACTTCCACTTCAAATTTTAAATAACACACATCTCGGAAATTAATGCCCCATTTCACCTGAAATTGCTACTTCATGTATGCTGCAGTACAGCAAACGTGGAGTAACAGTTTCATTGTGGTACGTATCGTAGAAACTGGTTTTTGTGCACTTAAAGTTTCGAAGTGGTTACGCGAATATTATATTATTTTATTTATTTATTTACCCTGAAGTCATTTTTTACACGGTTTTATTTTACGCGTTTTTTTACACGGTTATTTTTACACGGTTTTTCGCGATTTACACGGTACGTTTTTAACGATTTCTCGACAACGATACAACCCATCGACTTGATTCCAATCACATTATCCGTTTCAAGCTATAGGTAATCAAATGGCATACTTTAAAAAAAATCACAATTTTTGGTGTAAATACAGACATTTTAAAAATATCTCCATATGTACTATGATTACAAATGGCATCAAAATCCGATTTTTTAAAAACATTTAAGCATGTGAAAAATCAAAATCTCGTAGGTTTTTTTACACGGTACGTATGCCCCGTGTAAAAAAAGACCTGAGTGTATTTATTATAGTCACTCTAACACTTTAAAGGTCATTTGTGACTGTAGTTCATAGCAGTTCAATTTAATTACTAATATTACACTTTTGACGTAGGACTACGGCTTTAATTTCTATACTGGGGTACACTTTGTGAAAACCGAAAATGGAACATGAAACAAAATTATGAAAGATTTTGAACATTAATAACTCAGCTGCCTCTGGATCAATTTCAATAATTTTATCACCAATCGATCAGAAATATGTTTACGTAATGCTTCCATTTGATGATTTTCAACAAGAAACTATTGAAAAATTGGTAATGTCAAGCATTATCCAAAGTACAAATAAAAAGTGATATTTTTTCTTTGTTTTCATGAAATAAACGTTGTTTCCAAACGCAGTCGTCATAATCGAGTACCACTTGGTTGCACATCATTCGGATTTAACCTGAAAAGATATAAAACTACGCTGCTGTCTAGCCTCAACTCATTTTCGCTTCGGACGCCGTGGTGAGCAGACAGCAGAAGCAGCAAAAGCAGTCGTTTGGCTCGCCGTGGCGGTGTCAAA